TTTCTTGCATACATTGCTTCAAAGTTTCAATCCCAGAAATGAATGGACCAAATTCTTGTGGCAAAGATCCCAATAGCACTGGGATTTTCTGTTGGCCATTGAGATTACCACCAGCTAGATAAAGTTTATCTATGGGCATTTTTATGGTTTGAATATGCTTCAAATAATTCCCAACATGGGAAACTGCAATGTAAACAGATCTTTGTAGTAATCTGTTTGATGTTTAATGTCTGCTTTGCCATAATATTTCTTTAAGATTTTAATCATATTCTTAGCATCAGTTTCATCTTTTACATGAATATATTGATCATCTCTCAGAGTTTGTGTGATAAAACATTTGACTTTTGCATGATTCTTTTCCCATGTCTCTCTCTCTCTCTCTCTCTCTCTTTCTGGATATTTTGTTTCCAAGATATATATAATTCCTTCTTTGTCCATCTGAAGTTTCACTCATTGAAGCCAAATATTAAAATTATCCTCAGTTAGTTTAGGTATCAGGGATTGACCATGAGCCACTGATGGTTGAGACATCTCTGCCCAGAACAAAACCAAAACCTTTTCTTTATAAAGCTCAGAAAAACAAAATGCATTGGCAACCTCACTTGTGCAAACAAAATTCCAAAATCTCTGGCTTCCAAAGCCACAATCCTAAAAAAATTACCTTGTGGAGACTATCTGAGCCCATACCCTGTTAGAATTATGGTTTGGTTATTTGTGGTTAAACCAGTTTAGCAGCAGCAACACAGCAACAAGCGTATACTCCACAGGTATTTGGTGAAAACAATTAGATCTGAGTAAATAAACAGGATACATAGGTAGATAAAAAGAAAACTTACTTTATTGTTACATCTAGGTTCTACAAAAATAACTAACCAGTAGAGAAAACTATAGTTTGGTACAGAGATCCCTAGATAGCTGACCTCCATGTGTGCAAGTAAGAAGAAAAACATCATTAGGAGGAGAGCATGGTTTCTGTGTCCATGCTTCTAAGAAGGCAGGAAGAGCTCACTCTCCAGAAGAACAAAGAATCATAAAACTTTAGATTTATATTTAGATATAATATTTAGATAATTAGATATAATATATCTAATAATAATTAGATATAATATTTAGAAGCAAAGCCTGGTTTCTACCTCCATGCTTGGTAAGAGCAGCCAGGAAAATGTGCAACCAAAGAATCATAAAACTTTATTGCTCCAGGAAGAAACCGCCAGAAAGAGGAAGGGTATGGGAACTGATCTCCTCACAGAGAACACTGACCAAATGACCATAGAGATATACATCAGTGTAGAAGACACTGCTCCTTCTCAAAGGAAAACATAGAACTATGCACATGCATTGATGCTGCTACTCCAACAACTTTAAGTGTCCTGGCTATGAGATCCTGGGGTTTGTGGTTTGTTGTGACACCAGAGCGCTAGGATAGGTATCTCACAAATTACAGATCCCAGAATGCCATACCCTTGATCCATGGCAGTTAAAGTGGTATCAAACTGCATTAATTCTGCAGTGCAGACTGAGTGTAGGCCCAGGTATTGAAAGGTGGTATGGATATGTAGAAAAGAGACAGATGCGTAGAGATGAACTGGTTGATATTTATTTAGTTAGTTAATTTATATCCCGCCTTTTCCCCCAAGATGGGAGCGGCCCACAATATCAGATACTAGATTGAAATATTGAGAATTACAATCATGGGAATACTATTGAGTTTCACCACCAACAGGGAATGATCAGGGGAAGATTGTGTGTTAGTGTGTGTGTTAGTATGCATTCGCAGGAAGACAGAAAAGCATATGTATACAATGCATGTTGTGTACCTATGAGATGCGTAGATGTGTGTGAGTGATGATTGACCTGCATAGATATGATATTATTGGTATGTGTACCTAAGGTAGTCACACTCTGAAGAATAATGTCCAGCTGAGTTATGACAGTATTGATTATTTCGGTGAGGCATCTTTCCAAGAAATGTACTGAGGATCGGGGTGGGAGAGATTGAGCATTTGACTGTCTGTAGACCCGGAGATGATGATAATAATAAGCAATTATACTACCGAGAGAAAAATATTGCATGCACAAACCTAGGATCTGAGGCATGCTTCAAGCCTAGACTTCACACAGCGCCCTAAGATAAAAATGCAGAACGCCTGCATTTACACATGCAGTCGTGTTATTGCAGGATTTCAATTCTGTATTCGGGAATCACTCTTCTTTGGAAAGGATAGAGGTTTATTAATTTATTTAAATGTTGTCTATATCATCTCTGGCAAGAGATGGGAGAGAAAGGCTGTAGATCATCCGCAATTTAAAGGGAGCTAGAAAAATGACAAAGAAAAGAACACCAGAAGAAGAATGTGGACATTCTCCTGGAATTCTCCAGGAATTCAAAACACACTGCAGAAATAATCCAGTTTGAGACTGCTTTAACTGCCCTGGCTCAATGCTAGGAAATTCTGGGAACTGTAGCTTTGGGAGACATTTAGCCTTCTCTGTCAGTGAGCTTTGGCGCCACAATAAAGTACAATTCCCAGGCTTCCCTAACATTGATCCAGGGCAGTTAAAGCGGCCTCAAACTGGATCATTTCTGCAGTGTGTTTTGGACCAAAGAGTTCAAACTATGTAATCTCAAACTCTCCATGAAACAGAAGGTAAGTCAAAGAGTCGGAAACTAAAGAAGTGCTATAGAAGGGTCTATATATGAAGACTGCTTCAACAAATCCTGGAAAAGGATTGAGACCGGAAGTGACGAGAAGCTTTCTTTGGGTAAGTATTTTTAAAAAGCCTTTGACTACAAAGCAAGATAGTCCATGAAGCGAATTTTTAAAACAGATTAGAAGCGTATCCCTAAGAGACAGTAACTTGCAGGGAGACAGTAACTTTTATGGAGAGTTTCTCATCCTTGGTAGCTGTTTCTGCACTGCTGAAATAATCCAGTTTCACACTATCACCACTGCCATGGAATTTTGGGGAATGCAGTGCAGTGAGGCTCCAGAGTTGTTGTTAAAGCCGTAAATTGATTATCCCGTTGTTAGGCACTTTCTGACTAATGGCGACCTTATTCCAGGGTTTTCTGGAAAGGTTTGTCCAAAGGAAGGTTGCCATTGACTTCCTCTGGGGCAGAGAGAGTGTGACC